GTGTGTGTCTGTGTGTGTGTACGAGACTTTCAGGGGAGGCTGGGAGGGATTTTGTCTGCACATAGGCATGGAAAGGCCACCCTGACACAATACCGCGGGGTGTATTGTTCACAGCCACCTACTGTCCTCAATGAGAAATTCCATAAATGACTAGAGAGCAACAGACAGAGGAACTGAGAGAGACAGAGAGACGTAGAGAGCAGCCTCATACATCCATTTATCTCATCAATCTAACGACTGCGCTCTATGCACTGCTATGTCCAGCTGATCACCAAAGACAAATGTAACTAATAATGTACAGGAGCTTAACATACTGATGGATCATTACAGTTTATTGCAAATGAGGTCATTTAGCTTTTACCGTAGTTTGATAACGCTGTATTGATGGCACGGACAGCTGCGGACACAACACCACTACTGTCAAACCTGACAGCACCAGAAACAGCAGCGGGACGACGAGACAGGCTGTAAACAAGCCAGCAGGGGTGTGCCATATCATATCACTGTGTCATATTATGGTATTCTGCAATGAGCTAACTTATTGACGTCTTTACTATGCAGCAGCAGCACACACACACTGCTAAAGCTAAAGGTAAGTGTGCTGCTGGCTCCACTGTGGAAGTATCAGTTGAGTTAAAATGAAGTGGTTAGATAAAACCGACCTTTGATTTAGCTTCGGTGACAGTGATTGATCAATTACATTGTATCGCACAGAAGCTGGGTAAAGTGGAGGCAAAGAGTCAAACAGGAAAAATATATTTAACCAGCTCAAGCAAGAGAGGAGTAGATTGTTAAAGACAGAAAAGCAGCCAGCTGCTCTGTTTGTAATCCTCTGCAGTTATAATGTGGATAATTTATACGAGGGTTATTGTTGTATGTGCAAATGACACCAAGTTGGCTGTGGTTCCCCAGGGTAAGAGAAATTAATTAACTTTTCTAAAACACACCTTGTTTTCACACTACTGCTCGTTATACCCATTGCCAAGAACATTTTCTTCACCTAATTACTTTGCTTTGTATGCATTCATTTACATTTAGAGCATATAAAAAAAACAGTTTCCATGGTGTTATGGGAAACAAATGCTTTAGCATCAGTTATTAATTTGTAGAAATGGTGTTTGGAGATAATAATTTCCATTGACAGACAGAGAATACACCGGTAGTAGATCCCCTATGTGCTTCCTGATTAAAAGGGACAAGCAAGAGATACTCCCTGCTAATTCACATTCATACCATATGGCATATCATATGGGAACATGTAACTGCCACCTGACATTGACAAGGGTATAAAGCAACACGCCATCATTGCTATGTTACATCCCGTGTGCTTTATCTAAAAACAGATGGAAGATTAAAAGAGGAAACATTGTCTCATGTCTCGTTGAAATCGTATGGATGACTGCAGCATATGGAGAGAGTGCGGTGTTGAAACACTCATCAGGATGTAACAAATATGTTTTTCTACACTTTTATATTTCTGGGTTGTAAAAAAAAAGAAACAAATCACATTTGTTCACAGCATATGTTGTGTCAATATGGTCTTTCATTAACATGTCGTTTTGAAAGGTAACATGTTCAGTATGGTCCAAAACTGAATGTTTGTCTGTGCTGAAAGTGAGGAGTTCCCCTGGTGTTCAGATGTAACGTCAAATACAAAAATCAGCCTGTGGTTTTCAGGGACGTGATTTTTGAATCACTGCCTACCTTTTCTATCTCTTCAGGCAGTGGGTAGATCGGAGGACAGTGAAGAACCATCTTCATTTCCTTCTCCCCCTCCTGCTCCGCCTCCATAGATCTGTCTTTGTCTCCTGGAAACAAGCAGAAGACCAGCACAATTAGCTTTTCCTGGTTTTCATTTGCTGCTGCAGTTTAGGGCAGTGGTTAGTCTGTCAATTCAGCTTTTTTAATGAATGGATTAATTCTCTATACAAAGTCAGAAATTAGTAAAAGACGTCTATCACAATTTTGCATCACAACCGGATACAAAAGAGAAAACCAGTGAATGTTTTGTGCTTTACAAATGATTAATCGATAATGTAAATTATTGCTTAAGTAGTTCATTTATTGACTTATTGTTTTGACTCCACTAACTATATATAATAAAATAAATATTAAGCCTTTTAATGCCAAACATTGAACACGTTGCCTCTCTGTCTCTGTGTTTTATGTTTTCTGTCTTTAACTTCCATCCATCCTCTTTAAATGAGCTGATCAACAGCAGCAGCTTGCAGTAAAAACTAATCACTCTAAAAATAAAACCTTGATATCAAAGTATTTCTACCCAACATTACCCAGAAACACCGAACTCCTCCTTTGGGGATAAAAGTGATGGTGCTTTGAAACAGATGAATAGCACTGAGGTTAATGTAAGAGTAAATCCCTTAGCGTGATGTCTACCATATTAAACCCATTTGCCATACACTCTATTCAATAGATGAATCAGTCGAGCTTATGGCGTTAAGCTCATAGATGTAGATTACAGTATTGTTGAAGGTATTGTCCACTGAAGTGTGGTAACTCTCCACAAAGGTTCTAGTAACTCTTCGTGTGAGTGTCCATTAATAATGGAGGTGACACTTTAACTGTATAGCTTCAAAATATTCTCTGTTCTGTCTCTCTGTCTCTCTGTCTCTCTGTCTGTCTCTCTCTGTCTCTCTGTCTCTCTCTCTCCTGTCTCTCTGTCTCTCTCTCTGTCTCGTACTGTCTGTCTCTCTCCTGTCTGTCTGTCTTCTTGTCTCTGTCCTCCATCTCTGACCTGTCCTGTATGATCCTCAAACTCTCGACACTGTCTGTCTGTCCTCTCTGACTGTCTGTCTCTCTCTGTCTGTCTGCAGGCAGTCGGGCCTACGTCCTGCTGTCTCTCAGTCAGCAGGACGGCATCGAGCAGCACATGGACTTTGACAACCGTTACACTCTGCTGGAGCTGTTTGCTGAAACCACGTCGTCAGAGGAGCACGGCATCTCCTTCGAAGGGATCCACCTGCCTCAGGTAAACTCTCACAGGCTGGTCCTTGTACAGGTGTGAGGACTCACAGACCCCCACAGACCCCCTCAGACCCCCTCACAACATGGTCCTCAAACAACCCAAATCCTCAAATTCACCCCCCAACCAGTTCCTGGTGAGCCTGTAAGACCGTACTCAGGTCCCAGTGCTCCACTAAACACCACCTGTACAGTGACTTCCTGTCTTTTAAAGTGTTGTTGTTGTTGTTGTTGTTGTTGTTGTTGGTGATGACACAGACTGTTTTTCAGATTCCCGGGAAGCTGCTGTTCTCTCTGGTGAAGCGTTACCTGTGCGTGACGTCTCTGATGGACAAACTCAACACGGCGGGGGCGGAGTCTCCCTCTGACCGACAGGACGCCAGCCCCTCCCCCGCCTCCTCCAGCGCCGCCCACCAGACGGAGCACCTCCGTGTTCAGCGGGAGTTCGACTTCACCATGGCCATGGCCAACCTGATCTCAGAGCTGGTCCGCGTGATGGGCTGGGACCGGAACCGCCAGCCTCCAGATGGCTCCGCCCACCACCTGGATGGAGGCGGGGCCTGTGTAGAGGACCAGGGGGACGAGGCGCTGTCCCGCCCCCTCCTAAGGTCCATCTTCCAGCCTCGCTTCTGCGCCTCCCCCGTCATCCTCGCCGCCACCTCCACTGTAGCAGCTCCTGCTGCCACGCCGCCAAAGAAGAAGACAGGAAACGGATACAAGACGCGCTCCGACTTCGCCAGCCGCTCGGCCTACGTGGAGTACGTGCAGGACAACCTGAAGAGCGGCATGATGGTCCGCATGCTGGAGGACTACGAGGAGGTGAGCGCCGGAGACGAAGGAGAGTTTCGCTACAGCAACGACGGCTCGCCACCTGTTCAGGTGAGGAAACCCGGATCCAGGAAGCAACACATCCATCGGTGTGACAGATTGATGGCAGGTTGCTAACTGATCACAGAGACTGTAACTGTCTGTCTGTGTTGTGTCCAGGTGTACTGGAACTCCCTGTCCAGGACTTACTGGGTGCACTGGCACATGGTGGAGATAGTGGGCAGCGGCGGCAGCAGTCAGGCTGAGAAGGAGACGCAGGAGAAAGCCTCGTCCCTGACAGAGACCCTCAAACTCACCGCAGGTAAGACCCGATCACCTGAGAGGACGTCTCGGTAACGTTGCTAATACTTGAGGTGAAACTGTGTCTCCTCCTCTTCCTCAGTGAGTCAGACGTTCTTCTCGAAGCCCCCCGGCGGTCTCTACTCGCTGCCGTACCTGTCCGAGGGTCTGCAGAGGGAGCCGCTGGCTCTGAGCCGGGCCGAGTGGTGGGAGATCCTGTTCTTCATTAAGAAACTGGAGCCCAAACAGCAGCAGGAGGTCAACGGCATCCTGCTGCAGAGCCTGGAAGACCAGGTGAGACACACAGAGAGGGGGGAATGCTGGGGGAATGCTGGGAAACTGAGGCCAAATTTTAAAGAACTCATACCCTGACCTCTGTCTGTCTGTGCTCCAGGACGCGGTGCTGGACGACTCGGCTCTGATCGGTCTGTCTGTGCCCGGAGACGTGGCGAAGAAGCTGCTTCACTACCTGAAGCAGAAGCTGCCATCATCGTGCCTCAGCGACCTCCTCTGCTCCCACGCCTTCTGCAAGCACTACCTGAGGAGAGGAGGGGGGAGTCTGGAGGACGAGGAGCTGCTGGGTAAGGAGGACACGTCTCTCTCTCTCTGTCTGTGTTTATAAAGCAGTATCTAGGAGTCTGACTGTGGTCTGTCTTTCAGCTGAAAGCTCTCTGAGCTCATCCGGCCTCGGAGGAGGAGGTGGAGGTGGAGGACAGAGCTCCTCCTCTTCATCGTCAGCCTCAGCGTCCTCGTCCTCAGCGATGGGCTCCGTCTCCAAGAAAGCAAAGAAGGAACCTCCTGCCGACTCCGGCTGCGGCAGCCCGGAGACAGAGAGCGAGCTGCCCTCAGAGGACGACAGCAAGTACCCCGAAGACCTGGAGGACAAGATGAAAGGTGGGAGGGGGGAGACCTGAGGGGGGAGACCTGAGGGGTCTGAAGTAGATGTGTCATTAGTGCTGTGTGTCTCCTGCAGTGTTCAACAACCCGAGGGTTCAGGGGAAGAAGACGGTTTTGGAGAAGTTGGGGGAGGTGGTGGACATCCTGAAGAAAGGGGGGGCGGGCTCAGACCAGGCCCAGCAGCTGGCCGCCGTCCTCTTCATCACCCGGCTGCTGGAGGACAAGGGGACGCAGGAGAAGAACTCCATGAGGAGCGACTCTGCCCAGACTATCCGGTAAGAAACGGTGACCGGCCAGGAAATACACCCAGCCGGAGAGACTGCAGGAAGTGAAGCGGTCTGAGGGTAGTTCATGGGGTGTGGGAATGTGGAGTGTTTCCAGGTAATATAATACACCTGCTGTGTTTGCAGACAGGACTGGCTGGGTGGCTTGTTGGGAGCGTTTCCAGGTAATACACAGATCTCGTGAGCTGTTCAAGATACCCGGATATAGGGTGTGTTCCAGGAAATTGACAGACTGCGTAGTTTAGTGAGCACGTGGAACCTGTGAGTAGTTCAGGGACCTGGGAGAGCAGTGTGTTCTAGGAATTACACACTGCCAGTGAATACTTCAGGCAACGTGGGAGTTTGGACATTTCTGGGAAATCCACAGAGCTGGTGGTTCAGGGAGGGATTTATTTCATTTAAGAGACAAAACTTTCTTATATTTTACAAATAAGATTTAATTCTCATCTCATATGTGTCATTGATGGATATGTGTCATTGATGGATATGTGTCATTGATGGATATGTGTCATTGATGGATCGGTCGTTGAATGTCCCCTGTTGGTCCTCTGACAGGGACAAGGTGCTGAAGCTGCTGGTGGAGCTGCTGGGCTCATCCTCCAAAGACCTGGTGACCAGTACGCTGAGGCTCACTCACCTCCTCATGCTGAAATATGAGTGGAGGGTCTCCTTCGCCACCGAGGGCGGAGTCAAAGCCGTCCTGTCCTGCATGCAGGAGTTCTCCACTGTCACTCACATCCAGCAGCTGGCGCTCGCAGTGAGTTTCCACAGCCACTGAAATCTACTTTATTTATACGTGTGTGTGTGTGTGTGTATTCTCGTTTGAGTTGTCAAGTAACAGTAACAGTACGATCAAGTAATCAATACTTAACTAATACCATCGGACAACCTTATCAGCCTTTATCAGTTAGCATAGGCTTTTAGGTGTTTTCTGGTAGGTGGGGCAGACTAACGGTTCAACAATGATCCCATATCAGCATTTGAATCCAACTAAAGCCTCAAAGTACATAAAGGATCAATATCAAGCCATAAAGATACAGTGTATACTGCATCAATATCATCCATAAAGTACAGTGTATATGATCATATCCATAAAGATACAGTGTATTCTGTTGTCGTCAGACTCTGAAGGTGATCACTGGAGCCAGTAAACACGACCTCCGCAGCGTCGGCAGCAGCGTCCCGCTCTCCGAGTCCGGCACCCAGATGATGTTGGAGATCTTCGCCAGCATCGGCTCGGCCACGCCCGAAGGCTCCAAAGGCCTTCTGGGAGCCGTCCCCGCCGCCATCGACCTCATGCTCCAGACTAAAGGGTGAGGGGCCGAGTCAGATCAATCTGTCTATCAGGAAACTAGGGTTTTTGATCTGTGAGGGTTATGTGAGGAGTGTGTAACCTTGGGTGGCGTCGGGCTCCTCGGACTCCCTCGTTCGTCCAAGCCCCGTGCGAAGGGGGTGTCCGGGTCGAAGACAAGCAGCAAGCTGTGGCTCGCGCAGAGTGCCCCCGTGGGTGACTGTCTTTTGGGGGCCGCGTCTCTCAGGCGCGCTGGTCAGAACCTTCACCAACCAAACATCGTTTTGCAGCTCGCCCGTGGGGGTCCCCGTTTTTGAGAAAGGTTCCATGTGCCCTGCCTTGTCAGCTGGCAAGGTTCGCGCCTGTTTTAATCTTCGATGAGAAAAGCGGAACAGGAAAGCAGGTCCACACCAGGTTGATTATGGTGTAACCTGCTGGGGTCTTGGTTTGGGTAACCTGGTGTGTGTGGTAACGGTGTTGGGGCTGGGTGTGTGGGGGTTTGGGGGTTTGTGCCCGGGTGGTGGGTGTTGATTCTTTTTGCTCTTCCAGTGGGCGTTTGTGCAGCCATGGGGAGATGTGTGGGTGTAGGGTGTGGAGGTTGGAGGTGGCGAGTTATGAGGTCGCAGGCTGGGCCGGACAGTGATGTCGGAGGGACAACTTTCTGTTGCAGGACTGGGTGACTGTTCTTGGCGGGCCACCAAGCTCTTCGCCAAGGCTCTTGAGTGGAGATGTGTGAGCTATTTGTGATGGTGAGACAAGCAGGGTGGTCCGGGTTAGGTCACTCTGAAGGCTATGTGTTGCGCTGCCGACACATGCAGCGACACACAGACGTCCACACTACTGAGGAGCCAGGACACCAGTGTTGTGTGGTTTGTCACAGAATCTATGTAGACTGAACACGAGACAGCACATGCACTGACACAGGGACAGCACACGAGCGAGCCGAGCGAGCGAGGTTGGCAGAGAGAGAGGGCAGAGCGACAAATGATCGAGCACTACACCACACAGAGACACAACGACGAGGAGACACAAGACACAGACCACACACAGAGACCACAGACACAGACAGCAACAGAGTACATCATTAGACTATCATGTGAGCATTCTAGACACCACAGGTATCACAGACACACGGAGCGACTACACAGCGGCTGTGGTACATCATATACACTACGAGGATCGAGCGACTATACAGGAGAGGACATCATCTATCACACGGAGTAGACAGCACACCAGGGTGTGTGATGGAGGTGCGCGGAGGTGTTATGTATGTTAGTCTTTGTATTAATGTAGTTCAGTTGTATTTTATTATATTCCCATCCGACTCTCAGCTTCAACTCTCTGTGACAGTTTC